GGCTGGGGGGCAGCCGGGGAGGGGAGAGGGAAAACCTGGGGGGGGTGGCTGGAGGACAGGCCGGACGTCTCCGCACCCCGCGGGGAAGCTCGGTCAGCCCGTGCCTCTCTCCCGGCCGTGCGACAGGGGTGCCCTGCACGGAGAGCGACTACAAGCTGTGGTCCCCCTCGGACGAGCGTGGCAACGAGTGCCTGCTGGGCAGGAAGGCCGTGTTCAAGCGCAGGACGGCGCACGCCACCTGCTTCAACGGCGAGGACTTCGACCGGCCCATCACCGTGACCAACTGCTCCTGCACGCGCCAGGACTACGAGTGGTGAGCGGCCGGCAGCGACCTGGCGGCGCGGGGGCCAGGGAGCTGCAGTCCCAAACAGCTGTTCAGTTTGAATATCCAGCGGGCGGAGCTGAGGTTCAGGGGAAAGCCACACAGACGCTGGTGAAGTCTGCTCCTGAGCTTAATAAAATATAATAATAAACTATTTTATACATCACCTTTAAAGGTTAGCTTCTCAAAGGACTTTACAGAACTACAAAAGCAAACAAAAAAAATACACAAGATATGCACAATGAGAATACACAGTGAGAGGAGACAGTAGTGGGGATACTGAATACGGCAGGAGCAGAGGGGTATGAACAGAACCAGTTAAGCAAAGGGTCTTCTATAGAAGAAGGTTTTGAGTCTGGGTTTGAAGGAGTTTAGAGAAGGTGACTCTCAGATATCCTTGGGCAGAGAGTTCCAGAGCTTGGTAGCGCAGCAGGAGAAGGGCCTGTCACCCATAGAATGTAGACGGGCTTGGGGGACAGATAGGAGACCAGAATTAGAAGAGTGAAGGTTGTTAGCCGGGGCAGTAGGACGATAGGAGTTCAGACAGGTACTGTGGTGCCCAGCCATGCAGAGCCTTACACGTGAGAGTGAGCATTTTGAAGTCGACAGGAAGCCAGTGCAGGGACTCCGGGACAGGAGTAATGCGATCACTTGCACTGGAGCTAGAGTTTAATGTGAATTGCCCTGCCGCAGCCAGTCACTCTGTTCTTCCTCTGTCCTTCAGTGACTACGGCTTCAAGCTCAGTGAGGACCTGTCTCTGGAGGTGTGCGTGCCCGACCCCGAGTTCTCTGGCCGGCTGTACGCCCCTCCAGTGCCCTGCCCGGTGGGCACCACTTACCGGCGCACCAGAGGGTGAGAGCCCATTCCTCTACAGCCGTAAACCCTGACTCTGCGGACATGTGCCCGCACCCGTCTGCTTGTGATCATGCTTTCTTCAGCTTCACTTGGAGCAGCTGTCAGAGCAGATGTGTATTTATTTCTCTTCCTCTGCGTGCCAGACGGCCCAGCGTTTACATGAATAAAATCACTCAGGGCTGCTGCAACAGCACCATCTATTGGTGGGCGAAGAAAACTGCGGTTTACTGTCCATCTTTTACCAAGATCATGTTTTCTTTGTAGCCCTTCCCTGTGCTCATGCCCTCTGGTTCACAAACACCCGGCTGTAGCCGTTTGCTTTGCAGTTTCAGGCAAGCAGACTGTGGAGGAGTGAAACCGAGCTTAACGAAAAGTAGAAAGGGACAGGATAGGTGGCATTGGTGTAAGTCGGCAGAGGAATCCTACTCCGTTGGGCCCCTGAGCAAGGCCCTGAACCCCAGCTGCTCCAGGGGCGCCGTATAAATGGTTGACCCTGCGCTCTGACCCCCAGCTTCTCTCCCTGTCTGTGTGTCTCATGGAGAGCAAGCTGGGGTGTGTGAAAAGATGATTCCTAATGCAAGAAATTGTATAGGGCCAATAAAGTGATGTTATGATAAGTATAGATGACAGCAGGTTAAATTATACTGATTGAAGCACAGCACAGATTCAGTTAAGTTAATCAAATGAAAAAATCAATTAATTAAAAAAAATCAATTAAGAAAAGAACAATATCCAGCTTGAGACAAGGAGCATAACGAGGTGCAAGCACAGGTTGAAAAGGATATTGGGAAGAGCTGTTAATCAAAGGCCATGAACCAAAACGTCCAGCAGTCTCTCACGATGGGTCTGTTAACCGCGGCCTGGAGCTGTGCTAACGCAGGGCCCAACCCTGACGAGCGTGATCAGCTGGAACAAGTAGTCGTAGAAACCCTTAGGCCTCGTCCACGCAACAAGCAGGACGAGACCGTCAGTTCGGTGAGCCGATGTAAAAATGCTCTCCCTCCTGATGTGGCCCAGACGTTGAGCAGAGTGTGTGCGCGCATGTGTGTGTGTGTTGGGCAGGTACAGGAAAATAGCGGGGGACACCTGCGGCGGAGGAGACGTGGAGGCCAGGATGGACGGAGAGGTGCTGCCCTGTCCCGTGGGAGGTGAGACTGGCCTCTTTCGGAGGCCGTGCACGAAAATGCGCCGAGCGTCCGGACCTCGGGGAAGGGGACCACGTTTGAGTCGGCCTGCAGGCGTTGAGCCTTGAAGGTGTTCTGCGGGGTGCCCGGGGGGGCCCCAGGCATCAGCGCGCCCCGTGGTCTGAAATTCTGAGGGGGCAGTGATATTTCGGTTGAAATGCAGCCGTTGCAACTACCCAAGCGAAATCTCGCAACCATGCCGCTGATCAGTGCTTCATGATAGAAGATAAAGATGAGCCATCTGGTATCTAGCGGTGAAGCACAGTTTCTCGTCCATCAGCCCTCTCGCGGTTATTTTTGCCCGGAGCGACAAAATACCACAGGCGTTCATTTTTGCAGCTACATCCACGGTAACGAGGTTCTGAATCGGGAAGAAAAAACAGTTGTAAAACCAAGAGAAAGCACAAACGTCTATACGGTCCTAGTTATAAGGCGATTGTAAGTATAAGGATCAACTGCTGCGAGGGATCGGTCCACCTGGGGGAGTAGGACTGGTAATAATGTTGGGGCCCAGTAACGTAGACGCTGTGGAATGTGCCGTTCCCGGACGGATAGCCCTCCTGCACGTCAAACAGTCCGATGTAGTAACTGTGAATTCGGGGTGAGTGGAGTTATCTGACCTGTGACTAAGTACAATTGTTTTTTAGGGCGCAAGTTAAGTAAGTGAAAAATCCCTTGGTCCAAAAGTGTGGGGGGTGGGATAGATCAGTGGAGGGGGCGGCCGGGTCTGGGTCCGTGTCCGCTCCGGCTCTGACTGGCCCGTCCGCTCCCCTCAGAGAGCAACGAGTTCCTCCTGTACGCCCTGCGCGGCTCGATTCACCGCTACGACCTGTCCTCCGGCACGGACGAGACCCTGCCGCTCTCCGGCCTGCGGGAGGCCGTGGCCCTGGACTTCGACTACGACCGGAACTGCCTGTACTGGGCCGACATCGCGCTGGACACCATCCAGGTCAGACCCGGCCCCCCGGGAGGGCGCGGCGGGCCTGGCGGGGTGTCCGCGCGCGGCTCTCACGTGTCCGTGTGCTCCCGCAGCGGCTGTGTCTCGACGGCGGCTCCGTCCAGGAGGTCATCGTGAGGAAGGGGCTGCAGAACGTGGAGGCGCTGGCCTTCGACCCCGTCAGCCGGCTGCTCTACTGGGTGGACGCGGGGGCGCAGAAAATGGAGGTGAGAAGGGGGGGTGGCAGGGTGGGAGGGCACGGCCGCGATCGCGCACGGGGCCCAGCGGCGCAGAGCACTCACGCCCCCCCCCCCTCCCTCTGGCCAGGTGTCGAACCCGGACGGAGACCTGCGGCGCACCCTGCTCAACTCCACCGTGCTGGAGCACCCCAGAGCCCTGGTTCTCATCCCGAGCGAGAGGTAGGGCCCTCCGCTGACGGCACCCAGCTCCTCTCGCCCCTTTCAGTTTGCGAACGCGGTTTTGCAGGTGGTTGCGTCGCTTGGGAGCAGCTGTAAACGCTTGGATCCGATTATTAGCTCCCAGCTGGCAGCCCCACTGGAGCTCAGCAGTGTGAGCCTGGCCAGTACCTGGATGGGAGACTCCTGGGAAAGCTGAGGCTGCTGCTGGAAGAGGTGTTAGTGGACCAGTAGGGGGCGCTCACCCTGCGGTCTGTGTGGGTCCTAATGCCCCAGTATAGGGACGGGGACACTATACTGTAAACAGGCGCCGT